AATATTTCACATCCTCTTCAAGAAGATTTGGGATGAGGAACAAGTACCATCAGACTGGAAGGAAGGATACCTGATCAAAATACCAAAGAAAGGCGACCTCAGCAAGTGTGAGAACTACAGAGGCATCACTCTTCTTTCAATACCAGGCAAAGTCTTCAACAGGGTATTGTTAAACAGAATGAAGGACTTCGTTGACGCCCAACTTCGAGATCAACAGGCCGGATTTCGGAAGGATCGATCGTGTACTGACCAAATTGCTACATTACGGATCTTTGTGGAACAATCAATTGAATGGAACTCACCACTCTACATCAACTTCATCGACTACGAGAAAGCATTTGATAGCGTGGATAGGAAAACACTGTGGACTCTTCTTCGACACTACGGGGTGCCTGAGAAAATAGTTAACATCATACGGAACTCTTATGATGGATTCAACTGCAAAATCGTGCACGGAGGACAGCTAACCGACTCTTTCGAGGTAAAGACCGGTGTCAGGCAAGGTTGCTTACTTTCACCCTTTCTCTTTCTCCTGGTGATCGACTGGATTATGAAAACGTCAACAGCTGGAGGGAAGCACGGTATCAACTGGACAGTTAGGACGCAGCTGGACGATCTGGACTTCGCAGATGATCTGGCTCTTCTATCGCACACTCAACAACAAATGCAAGAGAAGACGACGAGTGTAGCAGCAGCCTCTGCAGCAGTAGGTCTCAACATACATAAAGGAAAGAGCAAAATTCTCCGATGCAACACAACATGCACCAATCAAATCACTCTTGATGGAGATGCCTTGGAGGACGTTAACACCTTTACATATCTGGGCAGCATCATCGACAATCAAGGTGGATCGGATGCAGATGTGAGGGCACGGATTGGCAAAGCAAGGGCTGCATTTCTACAGTTGAAAAATATCTGGAACTCCAAACAGATATCAATCAACACCAAAATAAGGATTTTCAATACAAATGTCAAGACAGTTCTAATGTATGGAGCGGAAACATGGAGAACTACCAAAGCCATCATCCAGAGGATACAAGTGTTTATTAACAGCTGTCTACGTAAAATACTTCGTATTCGTTGGCCAGACACCATCAGCAACAACGAACTGTGGGAGAGAACAAGTCAGATTCCAGTGGAAGAGGAAATCAGGAAGAAGCGGTGGAAGTGGATAGGACACACTCTACGAAAAGCACCTAACTGCGTCACGAGACAAGCCCTCACATGGAACCCTCAAGGCAAAAGGAAAAGAGGAAGGCCAAAGAATACATTACGCCGTGAAATAGAGAAAGATATGAGAGGAATGAACAAACATTGGACAGAACTGGAGGAAGAAGCCCAGGACAGAGTTGGTTGGAGAAAACTGGTGGGCGGCCTATGCTCCATTGGGGGTAACAGGCGAAAGTAAGTAAAGTAAGTAAGTAATATCAATTGACGAGCATATCAGTTTCCTGCCGAGTAACCTTGACCACATAATATTAAAATGTTTACGTGTGAAAAAATCTAACATACAATTATCGGCTACATTGAGGCAATTCTCTAAACATTCATAAATCAATAAATAAAAACCCATCTTTTTTTCCACTTAACAAACAGTTCAATAATAGTACATTATACAAATGTTCAAATTTTATTTTTATTTGTTTTTTTTATAAAAAAAATAATCATAATAATAATAAACATGCAAAGAACAAAGCAAAAAACAGTCTTGTTCAAATTAAAAAGGTTAATTATATTTATTTTATTCCATCTAATTATAATAATGGAATACAATTCAATGTATGCAATTGAATTTGTGATAGTTCAAAGAGGCGTATAGCAAGAGTAAATAAGAGTTGCTTTCCGTTCTGTTCTGTCTTTACCGTTGGCTTTATTGTGTACACATCATAGACGTATACAAATTATACATGCACATATACATATATATGCATGTATATGTATATATAATAATGGGATATGTATCTGAAAAGTTAGTATAAATATCTCTAGTTTATATTGAACAATAAATGAACAATTGAACAACTGATCATTGAAACGAATAAGTTGTAGTTGAATTTTGTTGACAAACAAAAAATAATTTACAATACAATTAATTCATTGAAACAAAGACAACTGAATTAATTGACACATATTTATATATAATGAGTAAAAGAATAAGTGAACTAGTTTCAAAGAGGTAGAAGTAACAATATGGAAGACTTTGTAATTCATCAGAAATGCTAACCCCTGGGTTATCATCCATCTGAAAAAGTTTAAATCAAATGAGAAAAAACAAACATTTTAATGGAGTGGAATTCGAGTTCATTATATGTCGATCGATATCATTCCTCAATCTGTGTATGTTGTTACATGATGGTGAAAAAAAAACGGAAGTTTGATGTAACGGAAATTCTAAAATGTAAGAAAAGAAAAGAAAAAAAATGAAAGTAAACACTTGATAATTGAATTGATATCTACATAGTATATAAAGAATTTGTTATAAAAAAAGAACCTAAAATATTTTGCAACTAAAAATGCAAAGACGAGTTTAATTATGCAACACGCAATTCAATAAGCTAAGACATTAATATATATATCCTTGAATAATATCTTCGAACTCTAATCTCTCCGATTACTGCTAATACTTTTACTACTTCTACTACTATGGGATTTCAATTAACAAGTACATCTCTGTGAGCTAATGTGGTATGGCAACTTGAACTGATGTACGCATGTACGTACGAAGTTCTACGTTGCTGTTGATTGATTGAATATATTCAGGATCTATGATTGAATTGTTCAAGCTTTCTACATTCACTAATTTGATAAGCCCCAATCCATGTAGTCTTTTATGGATGGGAATGTAAATTTCACACGTCTACATGTATGAAAAATATGTCGGAAATTGTAACAAGATTGCCGGAATCCATTAATACAATAAATGTAGCATATAAACCAATAAAATAACTTCAATCAATCCTATGCAGACCAAAGGACAAAGAGACAAAAGAAGGAAAACTGAATATTATCTACAAAATAAACTGTTCACAGTGCGAAAAACATCACATCGGACAAAATAGACATACTCTACAGATTCGCCTACATGAATATGAATTAGCAATCAAATCTCATGACATTTCTTTCCTTATATCAATACATGCGGATAACTGTGGACATATATTCGACTGGGAAGATGTTGAAATACTGGATAGAGGGAATACACAGGCAACCAGAGAATTTTTAGGAGCTTAGCATTCATGTCGATCAACAATCAACAAACACATCGACATTGATCCAAACATCAACCAATCAGAAAAATCATGAATACAAACAATCATACGATCAAGAACCAAATCAAGGAGGGATACAATCAAAATAAAGAGGCACACAATGACAGGTTTAATGGTCAATAACAACCAATCAAGACTAAGGTCAACAGGACAAACTACGGGGCATACATGGAGAAATTCGAATGCTTTACTACTACCTGAAGTTCGTGTTGATGATGTTGTTGATAAGAACTTAAACATCCAGATCAGAGAACGAAGCTCCACTTTAGGAAAATAATTTTTATCACAGGCCAAACTTAGTTAGCGAACAATTGAAAACCAGGTACTGAACACTTATTTCAACCTAATGTACAAGAATCCTTGGCAGAGACAAGCGGAGAATAAAACAAATATCACCAATATCATTATATGGTCTTCGCACTATACTACAAGTTAATTGAAGTTGGAACTGTACTCAGAAACATAAAATCAGTGGTTATAATTGGTAAATGTTTGTTCAGAGACCTGAACTGTTTCGGACAAATCCCCAGTGCACACCGCTGAGAGATTTTCAAGTAAGATAGAAACAGTCGTTCAGTACTTCCTGGTTTTCAATAATTGTTTAACTAAGGCTAAATGAAGCTCAACAATCACCACAAATCTCTTACGCGAAGAGTCAGTTTACTTGATGGAAGAAAATTTTAAATACTGGCATCTAATCTCATTCTATCATTAACAATATGAGAAGCTACACATCACCTAAAAAAATTTATTCACGTAT